TTTTTTATTTCTATACCAACCTCTATATAAAATAAATTGAAAACCTTACTATTTTGGGACAGAGGGAATACTTAATCTTAGGTCATATTCTTTTCACTTGATTTGATTACTTCTGATTTGATTGAACTAAATTTTAATTAGATTTGATTGTTGTTATATTTTAAACTATTTTTGATATGATATGATCTCGTCTAGTCTAGGATGAGGATGAAGCCTCTCGCTAGGCGGCGGCTGCCTTTCCTCCTCCCACCTCATCTCCTTGTTCTCCGCCATAGATGGCGACAATAATGATGCTTCTTCCTCTGTGCTCCTCCTAGTCACCAACCCTCTCATCCTGCTACGCAATGTCGTCGAATTGGCGCTTTTAATTCTCTGCATTTTTTATATATTTAATCCTCCCTCCGGTACAAAAAAAAAGAATGTTTTGATTTTGAAGAGATTTAAGGTGTGTGTATTTTGGTATTGAATTTTCAAAAATATCCTTTATGAACCATCAAAATGTTGGTGCATATCTTTGGTGTACAAATGAGATACAAATTTTGGAGTACATGTAGCATGCTCCTATATATACTCTGTATATTGTCTGAGTTTTGTTGCTTATTTGTAGGACTCTTTTTAACGATTATCATTTTACTTTAGTCAAACTTTTAGAGTTTTTTCTCAATCCAAAAATCAAAACACAAAAGCTATGCAAAGAGCAGAGGCGGCAGGGGATGACTAGAGGAACCAAGGACGTACTTGCTGAGCAACAACATCATAAATAAAAAATCAAGCTAAAGAGATAGGTATCATTGTTATTGAGTAATTTCTGGTACTCATTAGTATGCATTATTTGAAGAAGTTGATAATGGGGTGAAATGTTGAGAAACTTAGAAAGCTTGAGAAGCTACCTACTCACATGAAGGGATCTATGTAAAGGTATTACTCCGTATTCAATAATTTAAAATTCTACTTTCCTTAGCCCCCTTCACCCCATTTTTAGGATGCATTACATGACTATCTTGCTTGGTAAAAAACGTGATTGTTGTGCTTTAAAGATCATAGATCATCATAATTTATGTATAATTAACTAATTTTGAAGGTGGATGAGTTATGTGCATTCATTTATCTTTGATGATTGGAGCCTTATTGAAAAAACTTAATGGATACTATTCAAATTTGACCCTTAAGTTACATGGTGAGCTATATTTTTGCAGATAAGGTCTATGTTCAATTGGATATTACATATTGAGCCACATTATTCCTCCTGCCACATTTTTTATGATGTTCGATTTGATTGAGTAAGAATAACATTGGATTGAAGGTAGGGGGTGACATTTTCTCGATTCTCGATCAGTTTAGATAAATATCGAGAATGGTTCGACTTGGGTTGTCAATCATGTAACAAAAAAGTCGTCAAGGAGAACTTGAAGTTATATAAGGGACCCCGGGACCCCGCTCCCCAAACTTTTGAAGTTGTATGAGGAATGCATCTTTGGTGACCAGAAATGGGACATTCGGGATGAAGTTGAGGACCTCACACCATCAACTCATAGGGTTAGGGGCGGTTTGTTTCAGCCTTTTAATGGTTCAGATGTCTGAATGGTTCAGCACTTAATGGTTCAGACTGTTTGTTTTCAGCCTCTTAATGGTTCAAATGTCTGAATGGCTCAGACATTTGCCTCTGAATGATTAAGTATTATACAGAGTCTGAATGATTAAGAGTTAAGACCTCTTATCTGAATTGATCAGTCATTTGCCTCTGAATAGTTAAGCAATATACTAGCTCTTAATGGTTCAAACCTCTTAATGGTTCATCACTTAATAGTTCAGACCTCTTACTAGTTCAGCATTTACATATTCAGAAATTACCAAACAGCCTCTTAGTCTTTACACACGTGTTGCCTCCGCTGTGTAGACCACCATAATCTTTCGGTCACTCAATTCACAAATGAGGCTTATAGCCGCAACCATCATGTTACGGGACCGTACATAATGACTATCTATTAGTCCTATTATTTGGAAACAAGGAGTGGCTTAGGATGTTTTTTTTTCATTTTTCAATTTTTTTCTCGAGATTAGTTTAAAATTGATTTTGGGATTATGCTATGTGTACCCCAAGGTATGTACCCCAATTTGTACCCCACAGTTTTGCACCAATATTTTGTATTGGTAAAAAACTAATTTTTGTTAAATGCACCAACATTTGTGTCCGTGTGAATTTTTATTAACGCACCAACACTTGTGTCGGTGTAAACCATCGAAATGTTTGTGTAAACCTGTGGTGTACAAATGGGGTATATTTTTTGGTGTAAGTGTAGCATGGTCCTTGATTTTGAGGGAGTACTATAGATGTCTGATGTCCATCTCATGGCCGGCCAGGTTTTTTTGAGAATGATGATTAAATTATTGTATGTCATAATTGGTAATATTTCAAATTTTAAGCACAAAACAATTTAAATAGTAGTCTTCAAAATCAAATGATGTTCATCACTATGACGTAAGATGTTAATTTAAGGTTATTACTCCCTACTAAAATAAGAGCATACAAATGGTGTTCTATGTCACTATTACAATATTACATTGAGAGCTTAATATGAGAGAATAGAATCAATTGTTTACGATGCAATTACTTTCTACTCCCTCCGTCCTAAAATTAACTTCCCATTTGACTTTTCACGGTCTCCAATGCGACACTTTGACCATCAATATCTCAATTTTTATATAAATATATTTTATAAAAATTATATATTTCAAAACTATATTCCAAAATGAATTTATTGCTAATAAATTTATATGAAAATTCAATGTATTTTTTTCTTAATATACGGTCAAAGTTTAAAAAGTTTGACCGCAAAAGTCAAAATGAGAAGTAAATTTTAGGACGGAGGGAGTAGTAAATAAGTAAAATAAAAAGTGGTGCAATCAATTATTTACTATGCAATTATTAGCTTTGAATGGTTAAAAAAATCCTATATATCATATCATATCTTATCCTATATCCTATAGATTTATGTAAAATTGAATTCATTTGTTGTAGTGTTGATATGTGCCATGTCACATGTGCATCGACATGTGCATCCATTGACAACTATATATACTCCTTCCGTCTCAAAAAGATTTACATGTTTCAAAAAATTGTGTCCCACAATCTCTTACTCATTTCTATTAAAAAACTACTTTTACCCCTTACTTTTTCAAACCCTACTTATCACATCATACCTTTTTCCTAATAATCTACACATCACATCATACTTTTATCCATCACATCAAAGGTATTTTTGGAAAGTCAACACAAAATTATTTCTCCCTTAATTTCTACTTTAGTCAAAACGTACCCATCTTTATGGGACGGATGGAGTATATGATTATTTTTAAACTATTTACAACTTATTTTGGTTTATTACGGAGTACTTCTCAAAAAATGATTATAAAAATTTAATCACATATGAATTTTTATTAATTAAATACTTTGTTTCAAAAATTTTATGTTATTGCATTATTTATTTTATTGCTACATATATTTTTTTACAAAGTAAAAAGAATAAAGTTAGTTTAATCGAGGGGTACAACATTCTCTAATGATCGATGTATCATTATGTAATTAATCAATTTTTTATTATAATATTTTACAGAGTTGATGGATACCCTGGACATGGGGTATCCCGACTTTGTATGATATTAGTTGGGGCGGTCCAGTCTGTTGGACCGGCCCGTTAGTCATTTATTAATTATTTATTTTAGGGCGGCCCAGTCTGTTGGGCCGGCCCATTATTCATATACTCCGTATTTGTTATTTAGGGCGGCCCAGTCTGTTGTGCCGGCCCATTAATCCGAAACCCTAACCCTAGCTCCTCTATATATACCCCTCTTCTAGCAAGAGGGGGAGAGGAAACAACGGAGGCCTATTCATCTTCTTCATCTATCTTCTTCTCCTTTTCCTTTACTCTTGGATTCCATAATCCAATAATGGTGTTCTCATTGAGAGATCGAACACATCAAGCGTGCTCTCTTCAATTTTTCTTTGATTTCTTTTTTCATTTTCCAAGTTCATTGTTTTTCCTAAATCTGGAAAATCCGAACTTGCGCTCTGATGATTTTGCGGTTCATCACTTCTCATCCACGGAACCGATCTGGAATTTTTCTTCTCTATGGGTTCCTTAAAAAAAAATCCGTGAAGAAGAAACTGGATCTTGGCGAGGTCACTCTCGCCACTTCGCCGGACGGGGTCATTGACGCCGGAGTACAGCGCCGCCCTCAGCTCCGGAGCTCCAGACGAAGGCTTCACCGAACATCGCTGCGGGTAAGGTATTCTCCATGGACGCCGGCGCACTGCTCCGTCGTAAGCCCCTGAGCACCGGCGGCGAAGCCTTAGTCCGTTCGTGTCCTCTGCGACGGGCACCAGGCGACACTCCAACCTCAGATTCGGGCGAACAGCGCGACGGGTAGAGAATACCGATAGGTGAAGTGAGTAGTTTGCAGATCTAAAAACTTGGATGGGTCAAATAACGATCCGACCTAGACGGTGCTCTTTCCGCCAGCGACGGGTCAGCGGCTTCGGGTTTTACAACAGCCATTCCTCCGCTTCGTTCAAATTCCGGCGACACCTTCACTCCGGCGAGTGCAGCGGCTGCAAGTCTCCGACGGCAGATCAGCCAACTGCCGCAATAGCAGACCGGTGCAGCCGACGACCCAGTAGCCCGACTCCGACACCAGTTCAGACCGGCAGCGACCCACCTCCATCCCTCCGGCGATGCTTCTCGGTGTGCATCTATCCGACAAGCGTGCATGCCCCTCGATGCGCGGGTGGTTTCCCTCAGACGGAAAAAAAAGGAAACATAATTCCTAAAGTGGAACATGAAATTCCTGAGATGGAAATTCGCACATACTATATTGCGAATTCAAAAAAAAATTTAAAAACAAATTCGCACGTACTACCTGCGAAAAAAAAATTAAAAAAAATTATAGAACTGTCAGATTTTGCAGTAAAATTGCGTGTAGAACATGCAATTCGTTTTTTAATAAATTTGCATGTAGTACTTGCAAAAATAATAGCTACTTTTTCCACTTCCCACCTTTTTTTCTCCACCACATGTTTTAACCACCTCCTTCCCAACCATTCAACTCCACCCACCTTTTTATCTTCTTAATTATCACTCATATTTTTTTATTTAAACCACTTCTTCACCACCACTTTACTCACTCATATTTTTTCGAAATTATGTTTTTTAATGAATATATTTCTTAAGATAGTATTTACATGAATATATTTTTTTTCGAAATTATGAAGATGTTTTTTCATGAATTTTGTATGCTCCAATATTAACCTTCATTTTCTTAATTATCACTCATACCCGTAGTATATTTTTACTAGTATTTTAACCCGTGCGACGCACGGAGTTAAACAAAATTTTTGTCGATTTCAATTTTTTTCAGTGTAATATATTCTCTGAAATCAAGTAAATATATTTCTAACACGATTTTTAATCAAGTAAATATATTTCGAAATCAAGTAAATATATTTCGAAAAAACCTTATTTAATTCCAATTTTTTTGAAAGACTTTATGGTGCATAACGTTTTTGGTATGGTTGTAAAAGTTTCCATTGTTATTTAGAACCAATATTTTTAATTATGTATTTGCCTTCATTCATGAAAAAGTAACATGAAGCTAACCATGCATGACTAAATATTAAATTGGTTAAAAATAATACAACAAAAGACAATGTTTGACCTTAATTTTTGTTAATAGTCATAGTAAAATATAAAACTATTGAGAATTATTTTCTCTAGAATTTCTTTGGTAGTCCCGAATCAGATGGATTATGTCTACTTTCGGACTATAGTTTTAAAACTATAGAGAAGCAGACATTCAGGACAACCTTACGATTTGACTTTAGATAAGCAATGCTACACTGTAGTTGAATGCGACATTCAGGACAACCTTACCATTTGACCTTACCATTTGACCTTAGAGAAGCAATGCTACACTGTAGTTGAATGCGACATTCAGGACAACCTTACCATTTAACCTTAGAGAAGCAGACAGTGACTTCTAGAGAAATATTTTTCCAGTTCCACCGCAACCATGCAGAAAAAAGAATCCCCTCTTTCTGCTATCACGACTTCAATTATTTCATTAGATATATTTCACTGATCTTCATTCATCATATATAAATATCCTCTAAGATCAAATGATAACTTTTCTTAATCTTAGTTCAACTCTTTTATCAAAAAATTATTTTGATATCTACTAAGTTGATTGTCATCTCCAAATGGCATGCACTTGAATTCTTTAAAGGTCGTTCATTTCAATTAACCAACTTTTTAATCTCAGTTAGAAATAAATTCTTTAGGTCTTCTCGTTAGATTATAAGCTCTGCAAAAAAATTACTCCGTATTTGTTTCTATGCAGTGCTCAATTAAAAAGTTTTGTGTTCATATAAGGAGTTTATATAAAAAGTTTTGTGTTCATATAAAAAGTTTTGTAGTGCAAAAATGGATGACATAGAAAGAGAAATAGAATTATAGTTAGAATTATTATTATATAATATAACCTTATATAATTAGTCATTAATGTGGAGGATTCTAGAATATATTCCTCCACCTATAAATACATACTTTATATTCCTCTTCTATTATTCAAGCAATAAAGCGTTCTTTGTTATTTTACAATGTTTTTATTACGAAGTTGATTTTTTTATGTTATTAATTGATTATGTACAATTATGAATTACCTCGGGGTATAACTTTTTTAATTGGTAATTTGTTATGTTTAATTGTAAATTATAAAGGAAACAAAAAAAATTGTTAATTTGATAACTTTTTTAATTGGTAATTTGTTATGGGTTTTTATGAATTATGGAGTACCCCAAGTATAAAGGAAACAAAAAATACTTAATTCATAATTATTTTACAATATCGAAATACGAAGGAAACAAAAAAAATTCTTAATTTGATAATTTTTTTTAAATTTCGAAATATGAGGGAAACCAAAAAAATTCTTAATTTGATAATATTTTTAAATTTCAAAATATGAAAAAAAAACGAATTTCATTAATTTTGCATGTACTACATGCGAAATCATTTTAAAAAAACTGGGAAAAAGTTTGAGTGGTGAAAGTTTAATGTTGATGTTTTTTTAAATTTCGAAATATGAAAAAAATCGAATTTATTTAATTTTGCATGTATTACATGCGAAATTATTTTTAAAAAAACTGGAAAAAAATTTGATGTTGATGTTTTTGCATGTAGTACATGCAAAACAAAAAAACAAAAAAAAAAAAAAAGAAATTGCATGTTATACATGCGAAAGTTGGTGTGGGGAATTTGCTTCTCCAAAGCTTCCCACTGGGGGAATTGCTCCGCGCGTGACTGTAGCTAGGCAAGACTTGCTTCTGCCAAAACTTTTTTACTGTACATGGTGGGGCGATGCGACAAAAAAGATAAGTATTTTCTACTATCATTTCAACTATTCCATATTTATTATTATTATTATTATTATTATTATTATTATTGTTATTATTATTTTTACCATATTATCACCATCACATTTGCTATCATTTACTCTATTAGGGAGTATTATTATCATTACCTTGTCCACTACATGTGATTAGACTTCACTTGGACGATGGTATTTCACTTTGTGTTCAACACTTTAAGTTCTGATGTTGAACAAGCGCAAAGCTTAATCTCACACCCCACACAGGCTAGCGACTTGCCTCAGGGCATGGCTCGGATCCAACTCATTTAGTCATTCCTTAGCGAGGCCGGGTAAAGCATCTCTCTATGAGGTGTTGAAGATCGTCCGCGACGATAATATCGTGAGGCCGAGGTAAGCCGTCCATCTTGACGCACTCCTATCCGTCTTCCACGACGCGATCTCATTTCCTCTTTCACGAGGCCGAGGTAAGCCGTCTACCACGACGCACTCCCATCCGTCTCCCACGACGTGATTTTAGTTCCTCTTCCACGAGGCTGAGGTAAGCCCTCCCCGCGAGGCACTCCAAATCGTCCATGACGATATTATTCGCGAGGCCGAGGTAAGCCGTCCATCTTGACGCACTCCTATATATCCGTCTTCCACGACGTGAACTACTCGCTCTCGGATCTAAGGCGAGGGGTGCATCCTTTGTGCCTATCTCACTTACCCGAGCAGCTCTCATTTGAAGACCCCGGTCTCACTAAGGATAACATCAAGGTTTGTTCTAGACCAGACTACTACACGATCGGCGCACTCCGTTGATCAGGCCTATCTTTTGTCCAAAACTTTGGACCCAACTCATACGTTGACTTACTTTTCTCGGCCGCGTGGTGATCGGTCCATCCGAGCTCGCGAGCGTCTAGTGTTCTTTTTTGAACTTATTTTGCAGGTTAAGAGGATGAGAAGACTAGGCTCTGCCACATCCACTCGAGCTTGGCCTCATCCACTCGAGCTTGGCCTCGTCCACTCGAGCTCGGCCTCATCAACTCAAGCTCGGCGTCATCAACTCGAGCTCGGCCTCATCCACTCGAGCTCGGCCTCATCCACTCAAGCTTGGCCTCGTCTACTCGAGCTCGGCCTCGTCCACTCGAGCTCGGCCTTATCCGCTCAAGCTCAGCCTCGACCACCTCGTGGGGTACTCGAGCTCGGCCTCGACCTCGGTCATCTCGTGAAGGGGCCAAAGACTCCCAACGGAGCCGAGCATGGCCACTACTCCCCTTCGCCTCGGAATTCTTCTTCGGCTTAGGGAGTGGGGGACTTCGGGTGCTCGGCTCGTGATTACTACATCTCACATCAGGAGAGCCCTCGACTCCGGACAACGAGTCCGGGGGACTTGAAGATCACCTCTTCTAAGATCCACACACTTCCTTTACTCGAAGACCTCACACCCTTTTTCAATGTCTCTTGACTCACCTTGTGGGACGAGATGTACTCTTTTCTTGACCGAGGATTTTTTCCCATCCTCATGGGTTTTTTCCTCGGAAAGTTTTTAATGAGGCATCCCCCATGGAGTGAGTCACACATTGGCAGGGTTGTGAGGGTATCTTTGAAGACGTTAGATGGACTACAGATGACAACTCCATCACCCACTCTTATCGTGATCGTTGTGCGTTGAACAACACACAGACGATGCCCTTTGTACTAGGGTAGATCATTTCAAGACAATGAGCAGATCGGTGTAGACTTTTCTACCTTGCCGCTCCGGTCACCGAGTCGGCAGTGCACCTCATACTCATGGAGGCAATTTCTTTGGCATCGCCGCTCTGGACAGCGAGTTGGCAGTGCACTTCATGTTGATGGGTGCAGTTTCTTCCACTCTGCCACTCCGGACAACGAGTTGGCATCGCCTTCCATGCTCATTGCTACGACTTCTTTCGCTCTGCCACTCCGGACAACGAGTTGGCAGTGCACTTCATGCCGATGGATGGAGCTTCTTTCGCTCTGCCACTCTGGACATCGAGTCGGTACCGCGTATTGTGTTCAGTGCAACGATTTCTTTTACTTTGCCGCTCCGGATTACGAGTTGGCGGTGCACCTCGTACTCATTGGTGCAGACCCTTTCACTTTGCCGCTTTGGATAGCTTGCCGGCAATGTACCTCATATCCATGGGTGCAGATTCTTTCACCTCGCCTTACTCCGGACAGCTAGTTGGCATCACATTCTCCGACTGATGGCGTTGCTTGCCTTACTTCACCGTGCTCAGGACAGCGAGTTGGCGGTGCACTCTAGACAGCAAAGAAGACGGTGTCCTTCCGTGGTGGATTTTGCTCTACTTCCACTTCACCTCGAATTCCTCTCGGCTTGGAAAGTGGGGGACTCATGATGGATACCCTGGACATGGGGTATCTGGACTTTGTATGATATTAGTTGGGGCGGTCCAGTCTTTCTGGCCCGTTAGTCATTTATTAATTATTTATTTTAGGGCGGCCCAGTCTGTTGGGCCGGCCCATTAATCCGAAACCCTAACCCTAGCTCCTCTATATATACCCCTCTTCTAGGAAGAGGCCCCCCCTCTTCTAGGAAGAGGGGGGGGAGAGGAAACAACGGAGGCCTATTCATCTTCTTCATCTATCTTCTTCTCCTTTTTCTCTACTCTTGGATTCCATAATCCAACAAGAGTATTAATTAAAACTATTTTCATTATAGAACTTAACTTAATGGCCATTAAATTTGTATAAATTCTTTGTTTTTAAATTAACATACCAATATATATTCCACCAGTTTAAAACAAATTTTGTCACTACGAAGTATTAGAAAACTAAAAAAACTTAGAGCATCAACAATGGAAAGGAAAAAAAGGAATGCCACACGGTGACATGGAACATTTTAAACAATTAAAAATAGTCCAGTCAGTGTGTGACAAATGAATAGAGTGGCAAGTTCTACAGTGGCAAGTCATCATTTTTATCATTTTTTACATTTTTTTTATATTTTTGAACATAAAAAATATTTTTATTATTTATTTTAGAAAAAATTATCCTACTTTAATTTGTTGTACATTTTTGTTCAAAAAAAATTTTTAAAAAATTTATTTAAAAAAAAAGAAGAAGGTTGAGTGCCACACTCATGCCTCACCAAGCAAGGCACTTTAGCCTTGTCATGCCATGATATGATGAGTGGAAAGAGCTAATGTGGCAGTGCAAGACATTCCTCTTCCTTGCCACTATACATGCTCTATTGTTAAGTGGTGTAACATTACAAAATCCCTAATTTATATAGGGCTAAGTTTTGTCTACTTTCACTCCAAGATAAGGCCATATTTGCTTGGCCTGATCTAATTGATTTTGATTTGAATGAAATAAATTCTCATCTGGTTTGATTTAATCTGAATGTAATTATATTTAAAGCTATTTTTGATCTAATCTAATTTGAATAAGAACAAGACCTAAGAAAAATACGGAGTACTCCTTATTTTTTAGTGTGGGTATAAATTGTCAGTAAAGCTTCCGCAGTTAAGTACAAATATTGACGGAATCTGAATCCTCTTATTAAACACTAGTTAAGGCATAAGAGTAATTTGTTAGTTTCAAATTGTGAAACCACAAACGCAGTCACGCACACAGCATAAATAAGGCAAATTTCACTTGTTTCAATATATATAGTGTAAGTGTGTGAGAATAGATTGCGTAACCAATAAACACCACACACACTGTGCATGTATATGTCGGTAAGAACCAGATTACACAGAACATTTAGCAGACACTAAGTACAATTCTTTTTAATTACGAAAGAATTAAAGTACAACAAAGTTTAATTTGACAAGCCAGTGAGATACCTTTGTTCTTTAATTTAAATTCACTCTTTAACTATTCCGTGTCATTTTTTTAGTTGAACCCCAGCCAACCCACAAGGTCTTTCTAATACGGAGTATTATTGACCTGGAGTGGAGTAGTTTATTTGTGTCATTTTAAGGTTGTGTTCAGTTCGGCTGGTCTGATCTGATTTTTGAAGATTTGATTTTGGTCTAATCTGTTTTTTGGGAAGTATTTTGAAAAAAAACAAAAATTGAAAGAGAAAGTATTTTACTCCGTAATATATTAATGTTACTACTTGAGACAAAAGATCCAAATTACACTTAAAAAGAGATGATGATTTAAAGTGTCACACTGAACAGTCATTATAGAATAAAACTAATATAAAGTACTTTCTTGGTCCAAAATTTTAACATTCTATTTGGTTCAAGGAATTCAGAAGGATTAGAAAAAAAGATTTTCTTTCATTTTCTTTACAAAAATAAAAGGAATTAGGTTTTTCCTCCACCCAATACATTTTTTCTTCTCCTTTCATTTTCCTTTCACTTTTCTTTTCGTCTATAACCAAACAAGAAAAAATAGTTTTCTACTTCATTTTCTTTTCTTTTTCTTTCAAAGTTTTTGAACCAAACATAGCGTAAATGAATGTACTATCCCGTAACACTTTTTTTTTGTTTAGACTTTAATTTTGGTCTTTTTGAAACGAAAAATAAACTATAAAACTTTCACATAGGTATAGTAAAATGACAACAATTGAAGAGAATCTTACAAACAGGGAACTCTGACAATATATAGAGAGAGTATATATATAATAGAGAGATTGAGTTACCAATGATTCTGATTGTGTGATAAAACCATTGAAGGAAAATCTCATTAATAATTACCTCAACATTTTTTTTAAAAATCCCATATACAATCAAGTACATACTGTAACTCTGTATATGTCTACTGCTTGGTTTTCGAAGATGATATCGCTGCAAATTAGGTAAAGATCAGATCGATAATACCCTATATACAACTAATTTTATACTCCGTATATGGTAATTATGTATTTCTAATTTGTCTTAGCTTGCTTTTTAATTACCGTATTAATTGATAATTATTAATTAAATAAAAAATATACAGAGAATTACAAGCGCCAACACGACGACGTTGCATGAGCAGGATGAGAGGGTTGGTGAATAGGAGGAGCACAGGGGAAGAAGCGTTGTTATTGTCGCCGTCTGCGGCGGAGAACGAGGAGATGAGGCCGGAGGAGGAAAAGCTGCCGCCGCCGCCTAGCTGGAGGCCTCATCCTCGTACCGGAATATATTTTCCGGCAGGGCAAGAAGGAGTTATGGACGACGTTCCGAGTGGCGCTGCCGCTCTCTCCCCCACTTACTGGCTGAGGAACGTCGACGGCGTCGACAAACCTTTTTAATTACTGATTGATTACACGGAGAAACCTTTTATGAAAATATTGTCTTCCTTTTACTCCATTTTAATTATGTCAAATTAGAGGGATTAGAAATAAAGAATCTGGAAGCTAGCTATTTAGGATGGATAATTGGATATCATCCATCCATCCAAAACAAATAAAGATGGATTATCTACTCCATCTATATCTTCTTTAATTCGACTCTTTTTCTCTCCATTCTCCAAATGCTTGCATTAAATTTTGGGAAAATTAACTAAACAAAACATACTCGATTAGCAAAATACTAGTAGGATTTTGTCAATAAACCATCTCAACCAAAAGCTCAAGCTTGTGATTGTGGCCCAGGAATGATTGTTATATATTCTAACACGTCCCCTCACGTGCAGGCATGACTCCTTTGAGCCGTGAAATTTTAATTTTTTTTAAACTGGATGGCAGTGAGTTTCAAACTCGTGACCTCTTGGTCATCAAAACTCTGATATCATGTCAATGAACCAATTCAACCAAAAGCTCAAGCTTGTGGTTGTGGCCTAAGAATGATTGTTATATACTCTAACAGATTTTTTTATATACAAAAATAGGACTTATAATACCAAAACAATTTAACATATAATTATACTCTCTTCGTCCCTTTAAACATGGGATGTTTTGATTTTGAAAAGATTTAAGGGGAGTGTATTTTGGTATTGAATTTCCAAAAATGTCCTTTGATGTGATTGGTAAAAGTAAAATTTGATAAATACTTCGTAGATTATTAGTAAAAAGGTATGATGTGATAGGTAGGATATGAAAAAGTAAAGAGTAAAAATGACTTTTTAATAAAAATAAGAAGTGTTTTTTAGGACGGGTGAAAAAAAAGAATAAAGATTTTGAGGAACGGAGGGAGTATTATTATACTCCCTCTGTCCACCATAGATCTTCCCAGACACTATTCACAAGATCAAACTTTACTCACTTTGTTTGCTCAATTTTACTAGTCATTTCATAACATAATATAGTCTTGTCACTTCTAGTTTTGTAGAATGTTTCATGTAGTTTATTACTATATAAATTTTATTTTAAAATTTTACTCCTATAATCAATTAAATTGAATTGAAAATAAAGTCGGTCAAACCTCGTAACGCGTAATGGGAAGATCATACATGGACGGAGGGAATACTTAAAAACTTGACACTTTAAAATTTCAACAAGTATACAACACAAAGGTGTTACGTAGTATATTGCATAGTACCAATGCTCATAGTTAGGCTATTGATATATACACTCCAATTTTTACTAGATGCACTTTACTTTCTCTATATTGGGTGGATATTTAATTTACCAAATTATCCATTCTAGCATTAGTTTGCAATGCCCTTTCGAATTATTTTCTTATTTCATTTCAACATAGTTAACATTCTTTATGAAACAAATCAAAAGTTTCGTATATTTTGATACAATTTGATAATACTCCGTAATTTATATTATTGAATATTGAGAGATATGTCCATATATATATAGAGATTACAACAGAGTCCTATTCCTAGTAGGAATGGAATAAAGTAATTATGATAATACAAGAATAAGGAAGCTAAATAATATTAGGAGTCTTCCTATTATCCCCGCAAGCTGATCAACGGATACGAGGGGCAGCTTGGAACACAAATAATGGAACGGAGTCGGAGGAAACGGTTTTGTTAAGATGTCAGCAAGCTGCTCAGAAGAAGGAACATGATGTGTAGTCATAGTGCCAGCCATAACCTCGTCTCAAACAAAGTGACAGTCAGAGCCAATATATTTTTGGTGACACAGATTGTGGACTCATTATCACAATAAATATTAGGTTTCATAGGCAAAACATGCAGAGCATCCATAATATAATGAAGCCACATCGCCTCAGCCACCCCCCGCGGCCATAGCGCGATACTCAGCTTCGGTGGAGGAGCGCGAGACGTGAGGCTGTTTTTTTGTGCACCATGAGATAAGATTCAGCCCCAGTATAAGGAGATACTGAATTTGCACTAAATAGCACTAAAACTTAAGTCATTTCCCTAAATAGCACTTAAATTGTTTTATTCCTTAAATAGCACTTAATAATGTCCATAATGTCCAGTGGTGGAAAATATTTGCTTGAATAATGACTAATTCATAATGACTAAAAGTGCTACATTGAGAAGAAAAACACATGTAGTGCTATTTAGAGAAAGTCATTATGTTTTAGTGCTATTTAAGTAAATTTCTCTGGTGGAACGACGATCATCTTTGTCGTTAGCCTAGTCAGAATTTGAATAAACAGCAAGATCAAGAGAGCATTTTCCGAATAGAAGGCCATGAGAAGAAGTACATTTCAAGTAGCAAAGAATACGTTTACAAGTAATCCTTCTCTGTAGGATTATATCATTTAAAGTTATATTGACTATTACCATTTTCGTGCTACTAAAATTTATGTATAGTGGTATTTTTATGAGACTCTCTAGTTCTTTGTTTGATGAGAAGATGACTATATACTAGGAGTAATACATTAGATAATATATCAAAATAGAAATTTCATACTCCGTATACTTTATTTTTAAAATATGAGTACAACGTTAATAATATTAATATATAGTATCAAAAAGTTTTGTACAATATCATAATGTTATCATGCAAACTTTTATTTTTGATAAAAATATAAAATTTTTATTTTGAGAATAAATGTTATATTTACTCATATTTGGGGTGCTTTCTAAGGGCCGGAACTGTAGGTTTAACCGTATATATATAGAGCAGTTTATAATCACGCCTCCTCCCATCTAACCTTCTTGAAAAATGCTTGGGTACACCAAAAGGTGCACCCCACATATCCCCACCCTCTCCTTGTCCACAATAATTGGCAAAAAATTTAAAAAAAAATAAATAAATAAAAATTAAATAAAAATATGTGGTGGAAAACATGTGGGGTGTATAATTGGGGTACACTTTTGGTGTACCTGGTTCAACCTTCTTTCATCTTTGGCCTAGCCTTCTATGCGGACGCAGGCGCGAGACGCAGAGGTCCGAATCCGAACACAAGGTTTCATTTGAAATGGTTTCCTTAACTACTACGTAGTACTTCGTATTTGATATTTTTTAAATTGGAAGAAACACATCTTGACATCTTTTTTCAATTTTCCTTTAAAACGATGTGTTGGTGTGCTATTCTCCCATATCTGTTTTCTTTCGTCTTTGCATCTGAAAATGAAATAGGTATCATGGAGGCTCACTATGGAGGATGAATTCCTATAAAGTGGAGAATGTACTGTAGAATGATGATGAGACTTTGGATGCCACCAGCAAGGGGGGATTTGGGTTGCAACTTACGACATTGGAAGAAGGTGAAATTATATGATTTGGCAGATGTAGAAATTGGGGGTAAGCCAATGTTTAATTTCTTTAATTTTATTTAAAAAATAAAAATTAATTTTTTTTGGTGTTAATGATACTGTTTCCTAATTTTGAAATTATATGCACACAATGTGTTTGACGAATGGCTTATCCAATATAGGATGTTTTGTCTAATAAATACGGAGTATTGCTTAAACTTTTAGTTTTAACTTGGATTTTGTTCTTTCGTACTTTTGGTTATTGATCTTTTATCTTTCTGCATACCTCTTTGAGTTCAGTATATTTTTCAAACCACGGTGACCTTGGGTTTTTATGGTTGTGATTCAAATATGGGTCATCATCTATCGTGGTCGTAGAGATACCCTCTTTGGGCAAGTAGGCATCTTTTGTCTCAATTTTGCTACCAAGTAGACTACGCTAGAAGAACAGTGTAATTTAGCAATTCGTGGTTGTGGTAGTAATCCAGAAGGGTTCTTTTATAATGTGTAAGAAGCATTTTCATCATATTTTGAATCTCATTTGATTGTTAAGAAGCTTCCCTTATCATATTAAAAATTTGAGGTTTTTTTGTGTACGCATTGTTCTAATTTGATGTGTGATTTTTCGTCCATTAAACGGTCTATTTAGATGTATCTTAAAAGGGGCTGTAAATAAAATATGAATCATAATGACAAAGCAAGACCTTTTTTAGTGGTTTGAAGTAAAAAAATTATGATCTGTTGTTTGACATGCAAATTATGGATTCCACATGGAGATCCTGGATCAGTTGTTTCAGACGAGATTTCCACATGGAGATCCTCGATTGAATATATGGTTTGAATGGTGAATTGATTTATTTGCAAGTAACTTGGAATGTTTCTTTGCTATACTGCTATTGTGTTCTTTTTATCTTAAAAAGACAATCAAGTTCTCATGGGACTGCAAATCAGAGTAATATACACTGTCTTTTGCTTATTTACTTGAAGCAATTCCTTATGTTTGTTGCTAAATTTCATCTGTAAATCAAATGATTTAGTAGATTGGAGGACTAACTAAATACATTGTTTAAGCAGTTGAATATTTGGTTTGCAAGTAATTTAGAGTTTTTCTTCATAACAGAACTAATGAGTTATTGTTTTGCTTGGAATGATAAAGGAGTTCTCTTGGGATTGGACTTTGAGTGATGTAGTTGCTCCAGTATGCAAACTGGATTGACAAAGTGTCATCTCTTGACTCTTGAGAAGTCAATTCATGACCATGCATGTAGTACAGAGGCTAGGCTCAAATGCTCAATGATCTATAAAAGAAGATCAATGCAGTAAAGTGACATACTCAATCATTGTTGAAGAACCGTGAGGTAGATTTTGTCACTAACCATTGTGAATACTATACGAAGTACACATTTTTATCTTATTTTTTTCAAACAACTAATTTAGGATGCATTTAGAATTACACTACTACATAATAGACATTTAACATCGCCCCTTACCCATCGGATATCATGAAAACCGCTGGGTAAAAAAACAAAAAAATTCGCCCAGGGTTATCCGACTAGTTAACTGTTTTGCTTGTAAATATTCTATGGACATTATATCGCCCATTTTTAAAAGCCGCTGCTTAATTGTTTTCTAACTTTATGCTCTCCAATAAAAATGCTACTTCAGTACTCCATATCATATTCAATCACTCTTCAATCTAATTATTCATTTCAAAAATATTCTTAGAGAGTATATGCCTGAGCTAAGGTTGGATGAGCAATGCCTTCGCTAGGGTTTTGAACCCCGACTCTGGTTCTGCTAAATCACCTAAAGGCAAATGACTTTGGTTTGCATGATTTAGCAATGAAGTAGACAACCGATGATGGTTTCCGATGCTTGTAGTGGCAATTAATGCACTCAAGGTGAGCAACAAAAGAGGAATGACAATGAAGA